ACCCTCAAAGGCACTTGGCTTTCAGTTTAATTGGTACCTTCAGGTGGAAGTTTTCCAGGTGGGTTGAGGGGTAAAAAGTGTGTTCCTTCTGCAGGAACTGCTCTCTGTGGGAAAGGGGAAGATGGTTGTAGCTGTGTTTGTGCTTCTTTCTGGCTGCCACCTGCTGACTCAGGGAGTGAGTGGCTCAGCAGAGACATTTTAGTGTCTGTTTGAGAGCCAAGATGATTAATAGATCTTTTGAATCTCTGTGATTTCTGTTCCTCACATAATGGTCTGATTCAGTTGTACCCAAGCTTCCTTTATTCTCTTCTGCTCTCAGATCCACCTTCACATCACTGCTGTTCCTGCTGCTCTCTTTTAACTGGTCTTGCTCTCAGGTTTGAAAACCACACAGCTTGTACTCAGCTGTTGAATTCCATCTCAGGAGCTGTTGGTGTGTCTGAGTGAGCAGAAAAACCCTTAAAGTTTTGACCTAAAGTTCACGAGCCTCATTTTGAATTGGGGTCAGCTTTAATTTGTCATTCTAACCTCATGTGTCTGAAGCATCATGAGTCAGAGGCTTTTTGAAGGCTGGCAGTGGCCAGAAGAGAGGCTACTCTCCAGCAGAGGAACAATCTGAAGTCTCAGTGCTTTATTTTAGACCTGGTGCAGCTTTACTCTGACAAATGCAATGTCATGGGATTGGGAAGGAGGGTGCCTCAAATCACAGTCACAGGCAGGGCATTGACCCTCCTGGCTGAGATTTGCAAAGCTTCTTGAGTGGGGGGGGCAGTTGAAATGATTTTTTTTTTCCCCCCAAATGGTTTTTATAACTTTGAGGATGCTGGTAACTTGTTTTTCTCGCAGCTGTGGTCCGTGCTTTCCGAGACCTGGCCTGGCTGTGTCCCCAGTGCACAGATGCCGTGTGCCAGGCGCTGCCTGGCTGTGAGGACACCATCCAGGACAGCGAGGTGAGGATGGACAAGGACTGTTCATCTTCCTTTTGCCTGGAGATTGGGGGCAAAAATCTGAAATCCTCAGATTTGTTCTCTCAGCATGCTAATTTCCTGCCAGCATGTGGCACACAGCAGCTGTTTGCTGGTGTTCATGTGGTTCCTTTAGGGCAAGCAAGCGCTGGTCTGGCTCCTGGGCACACATGGGGAGAAGATCCCCAATGCTCCCTATGTCTTGGAGGACTTCGTGGAGAATGTGAAGTCTGAGATATTCCCAGCAGTGAAGATGGAGCTCCTGACAGCGCTGCTGCGGCTCTTCCTGGCCCGGCCCGCTGAGTGCCAGGACATGTTGGGCAGGCTGCTCTACTACTGCATTGGTGGGTTCCCTGTGTCCTCACAGGCTTTGGGACCTGCTCTGGCTGTGTCCCATCTCAGATGCTCTGATGCCTCTGAGGAGGCCATCCAGGCTGGCAGGGACAGGTGGTTCCATGCCTTAGGCTGCTGCCTGGCCCCTGGCTGCCTGGTGGATGTGGAGTTACAGAGTCATGGAATGGTTTGGTTGGGAAGGGACCTTAAAGATCATCCAGTTCCACCCCCTGTCCTGAGCAGGGACACCTTCCCTGTCCAGCTTGGCTTTGGACACTTCCAGGGATCCAGGGGCAGCCACAGCTTCTCTGGGCAGCCTGTTCCAGGGCCTCCCCACCCTCACAGGGAACAATTCCTTCCCAATATCCCAGCCAATCCTGCCTTCTGTTAGTTTTAAAACATCCTCCCTTGTCCTTTCACTGTCTGCCTGTAAGCAGGCTTGCGTTGTATCCCTGAAAGTCTGTTTTTGATAATTGTCAGTACTCTGGGGAAATGTGGCTGGTAGGATTCTCATGAATTGCATCTCTGATTCCCAGAGGAGGAGCAGGACATGGCCGTGCGGGACCGTGGGCTGTTCTACTATCGCCTTCTGCAGTCTGGGGTGGAGGAAGTGAAGCGGGTCCTGTGCAGCCCCAAGTCTGACCCCTCCCTGGGGCTCCTGGGGGACCAGAGCAAGCAGCCTGTCAATGCCTGGGCTTGGGAGTTCAACACTCTGGCCACAGTTTACGGCAGAGAGCGCTGGGCACTCGCCACTGTTCAGCAGCCTGTGGAACCCTCTTACTCTTGCTCACCTTATGCTGACTCCAGAAACAGAGACACAGGTAAACCTGCCTCACCTTCCTCTGGGAGCCATTCTCCCCTTGCCAGCAGATCACAGAATCCCAGAATGGTTTGGGTTGGAAGGAGCCCTGAAATTCCTCTCGTTCCACCTGTGCCATGGGCAGGGAACTTCCACTGTCCCAGGCTGCTCCAAGTCCTGTCCAACCTGGCCTGGAACACTTCCAAGGATCCAGGGGCAGCCACAGCTGCTCTAGGCAGCCAGGATGTTCTCCTGTGGGTTTGTTTGGAAGAATGTCAGAGTGCTTTGGGAATTTGGTGTTCTGATCATCTTGTGCAGTGTGTGGCTGGTCCCTCACTAGCCCAGGGAATGCTGCAGGTGGTACTGGGATTCCAGCCTTCCTCTGCTCCATCAGATGGGATTTGTGGAGCTGGGAGCTTCATCTCATATGTGTTTGTGCTTTCATTTCAGAGTCACTGGTTTCTGAAGGGAGTAAGGAAGTCCTTGATGTTCGCCCTGATACTCCAGTGTCTGAAGGGAATAAAGAACTCCTCAAGGCTCATCCTGATGCAGGCAGCCTAAGCTTGATTCCTGATGTTTCCCTGACTGCAGAAGAGTTTGAGAAGACCTGGCTGAGCCTGGACACGAGCTGCCAGCTCTCTCTGCCCTGGTGTGGGCTTGTCCATGCAGACGCCATCCAGACAGCCCTTCGTGTTGTGCACATCCAGACCATTGCCATGAGCAAAGCTGGAGCCCAGCCCTGGAAAGCTTATCTGAGTGCCCAGGATGACTCGGGCTGCCTCTTCCTCACAGAGCTCCTGCTTGAGGCAGCAGATTCAGAGCTGCAGATTTCGGTGAAGCAAAATGAAGCAAAGCCAGAGGCTCTGCAATCCTTCATCTCAGCCTTGAGGACAGTCCTGGAGGCGGTGGCTGGACTGGAGTCTTGACTGGTCCCTGCTCCCAGCAGGATGTGTGCTCAGGGCACAGGAAAAGTTGATTTCTCAGGCTTTTGCCACACCCACTGCTGGTTTGGTAGTTTGAAACTACACAGTTTCCAGTTTACCTGGAAAGCCCGGGTGGTGTGGGGGAGGCTGGGGCTGGGGAACAGGGCAGGGTGAAGGGTTTGCCCTCCCCCTGGGCTGGAGAAAGGACAGGGTCACTCTGGTGTGAATCACATGACTGCTGGCATCTGTGGGGGTTGTCATGAGGCACAAATGTCACTGATGGAACCAGAACTGAGCAGAATCCAGGGGTGTGTTTTGGAGAGTTTTTTTCCTGAGAATTATAAATAATTAAAACAAACAAAACAAAATGCCAGAGGCACCAGGACTCTGCCACTTATCTCGCACTAAGAGGATCAGTGCAGTGAGGAGAGACTATTTCATTCTTGGCTCCCTTTACATTTATTTTAATTTGCTGTCTGATTTTAGTAGTAGCTTCACTTGGGGGTGAAGAGAGCTCTGCTGTGCCAGAGGAGGGTATGCAGGGTACATCCTGCTCACTGGAACCAGCATGGTCCACTTCCAAGAGACGGGTTTTTAGTTCAAATGTGTTATTGAGGTGAGAATTGCCCTCTCTGAAGTTTCCCCCAGCTCCCTGTGCTCTTTCCAGACTCCTTGACTGAGGGTGAGGTACGCAGTGAGATTGACCTAACAGGGCTTTAGGTACTCTGTGAGGAGTACAAGCTTTTTTTGACCCTATTCTGCCTGATTTCTTGTAATTTTTGATTTCTTTGAATGACGTGATTGGCCCTCAAATGGCACTATGCCTTCCATGCACTTCACTGAAACCCTGTCACTGTTAGACAGACTTCTGCTTTTCCTAATAAAAATGTGAATCCTGTTTGGCTGATTTCTGGAGTTTCTTGTTCCTTCAACCCTCAGGGCTGTGGATGGAGTGGTGTGATCACTGCTGTCGATCAGGGCAGCTCTGCAGCCCAGCTCCTGCCTCTGTCTCCAACAGGGCTTTTCTCTCTCACCTTCCTTTAAGCAAAGCTTTAAGGAGTGACTGGTCAATAATTAGTCTCAAATGTCAAATTAATGTAAAGGGTGAACCTGCAGGTGAGCTCAAAGCTGTAGCAGGGCTCCTGTTAACAGTTCCCACAGCTGTGTTGTGTCCCTGTCCTCAGGGAGAGCTGCACTGGAGCATTGGCATTATGCAGTTTTCAGGGAAAAGTAGCTGAGAACTTGGCAGTCCATCGTTTACTCTGCCGTGGCCACGCCAAGACTTCTATAATCTGCTGGAGTCAGGTGTGATTGTCTCTTTTGGCAAAAGCCATGATAACGGCTGGAAGAGTTGACCTGAAGCACATGGGGGTTTTTTTCTGGAAGTCACACAGTCCAGGGCAGTAGCACCTCTTTGGGTGTCAGCATCTGCCTGAAGGATTTTTTCAAAGTATTTTACAGCTGATGTGGAAAACAGACAAGAACTTCCATCCCTGGAAAGTGTCCAAGGCTGGGTTGGACTCATGGAGCAACCTGGGATAGTGGAAGGTGTCCATGCTTATTGAGATGAGCTTTAAGGTCCCTTCCAACCCAAACCATTCTGGGATCCTACATTCAAAGCATGAAGGAGAACTGTGGATTTTCCATGCTATTTTATGGACTCTTACAGTCACACTCCAGGTTTGAAGCCTTCCTGGTGAAGCACAGCCCCTTGGGATGTGAATGCTCCACAGTTGCCCCCTGGCAGTGGTGGCTGGGCACGGTGCTGAAGGAATTGGGTGGTAGGGGGTTTGGACAGGTGTCCAACATGTCCCTGCCCTTGTCCTTGGTGCTGCCCACCCCATGCCAAGTGGGGCTGGATTGAGCAGAGGGTGCCACATGCCATGTGTTGTGCTGTTTGGCCAGGATTATCTGCTACGCACTAATTTCCTTTGGGGCTGTGATGAAGTCAGAAAACCACAGGCAGCGCTCCCCGGCGGCGCCTTCCGCCGCGGATCACTTGACATGTCCCTTCCCAGGAGGGCCAGGCCAGGCACGCTCTGGCACCATGGACCAAAGGGGGATCCTGTTACAGAACCTGGAAAGGGCCCAAGGCAAGAAGCTCAGCCGAGGAGAGTTTGCAGAGGAGTTTTTGGTGAGTTCACTCAAGGCTTGGCTCAGTGTTTCAGCTCATTTCAGAGGGAATTGCTCGGTCACCTCTCAAACCTGTGACAGTGAGATTTTCTAGGAGTTTTATAGCAGACACAAGTTAAGTGGGCTAAGAGGAATGTAAAGACATGATAGGAATTTAATAGTTTGTATTTCAACTGTTTGCTTTTTAACTAATTACTCGAGTGCTTCCTGTTTTCTGCTGGGCGAATGTGCTTGTTGGGACATGGTTTCACTTTGCCTGGTAACAGAACTGGGCGGACAGGGAGGAATATAGAGCCTCTGGCCCTTCACACCCTTGTTAGACCAGTGGCACATGAGTTCCTGCCAGGGATCTCCAGTTTTGCCTTGGCTCAGCTTGTCCTTGTTTCTCTAGAGCACAGGCTGCCCAAGGCAGCTGTGGGTGCCTCGTCCGTGGAAGTGTCCAAATCCAGGCTGGACAGGGCTTGGAACAACCTGGGATAGCAGCAGGTGTCCCTGCCCATGGCAGAGGGTGGAATGAGATGAGTTTTAAGGTCCCTTCCAACCCAAACCGTTCTGGGATCTGGGATCTGTGTGCTCTACATCCAGCAGTGCTCCTGGTCCCTCCTGGAAATTACTTTCATTTTCCCTCAAATCAAAAGTTGCACAAAATGCTGATGGCTCCCACCAGCCCCTGTGTTCTGCATTGCCCTGAATTTGTGAGCTCTCTGACACATGTTTTGGTTTGGGTGTCAGGGTGAGGCTCAGATGCCAACGCATCACCTCATGGCTAAAGCTGGTGGCTGGAGGTAGCTCTTGGTGTATCAGATGGAGGCCGGTGGCTCTGACAGGCTGTCTAGGCTGCTCTGAGGGGCAGTGACATTGCCCAGCTTTCACAGACATAGGGAAGGGCAAAACTGGTACCTCTGTGAGATCTGAAACATGTCAAACACTGGACTGACCCTGCAGTGGGCTTTGGGCTACTGAGGGGTCTCCATGAGCTCCAGCCCTGCTCCGTCATACCAGCAAAATCTGGCACTTCAAACACTTGGGGAAAGCTGAGTGCTTGGTTTCCAGGTGTCTGGGGTGGAGGGAAGTGATTCATCTCAGCCTGCAGTGACAGTCTGTTGTTCCATGGAACAAAGCTCTGTCACAGCCTGCTGAGTTTCCCCTCTCTGCCGCGGTGTCTGTGTGTGTGAGGCTCTGAGCCCTGGCGCTCAGGCTGGCTTCAGCAGCCTGATGTATTAATTTCTGATCAAAATGGCAGGTGGAAATGGTCAAGGCTGCATTTCCTGTTGTATGGGATAAGATCTTCTCAGAGTGACCTGATTTGCAGCCACTTCTGCAAGGCGGTGGCCTCAGCAGGACACCACGTTGGCTTCTGTTTCCAAATGTGATAGGAATATTCAGTGTCATTCCTCCACCCTCTCCTTGTGGGACCAAGAATTTGTACTGGCAAATTGTGGTGACATTACTATAAATGATAGGGGTTTTGTTAGAGTCCCTTTCTTCACACTGTGCAGACTCACAGCTGCACCCTGCCCAGGCTCCCCAGGGAATGGGCACAGCCCTGAGGCTGCCAGATCTCCAGGAGCATTTGGACAACGCTCTCAGACACAGGGTGGCATTTTGGGGTGTCTGTGTAAGGCCAGGAGTTGGACTCAATGATTCTTGTGGGTCCCTTCTAGCCCAGGATGTTCCATGGTTCTGTGATTCTCACTTCCTTTGTCACACCTCGGCATTTCCCAAGCGGTTTAGTGTCCGATTATTCAGGGACCGAAAACTCAAGATGATTCAGGGCCTTGGTTCTGGAAAGACTGGCTTTAGGATGGAGTGATGCTCCTTCCATGAAATCTTTCCCTGGAAGCTGGGGGTGCACTGGAAGGAGGAAGGGGGGGATGTGACTAACACCAGAATTGCTCAGAAGGTTGCAGGGATGTGGAGGCTACAAAATCCACCCTGCTTCCCTAATTTCTATCCCACTGTGTCTGCCCCATGCTCTTAATTAATAGAGACTGGACATATGGGCTATCCTGTGCCTCCTCCCTCACTCATTCCACCAGATCTCGTTTAACTCCTAGGGTATTGGGGCTGAATTTAGTGTTTTAAAACTGCAGTTTAATATTAAAACCAAAAAAATGTGAAAGAAAATATACAGCAAGAATGGTGTTTCTGAAACTGCTGGCAACAAATAGAGTGTGTTATTTAGGAGCTGGTGACAGTGAAATAAAATTCTATGCTTTGCCAGGAGAAAGATGCTTTAACTCTCCATGAGTGCTGCAGCCTTACCCTGAAAATGAAAGAGAGATTTGCAGTCCTAAGGATTTGTCCCAGGACTCCTCCCTATTCTTTCATCAGTCCATGGAGCCACTCTGCTCCAGTTGCTTGTGACTTGAGCATCGCTGCTTCCAGCAGATGGGAGCATCTCCACCAAAGTGAGAAAAATCAATAGATTTACCTGTCTTTTCTGGTATCATTTGATGAAGGTGCTTTGACATTGTTATTCCTCTGATCTGGGTGCCATTTGTACTCAGAGTGGTTTCCCTGGGCCTCACTCACTTGTGAAGGCTTCTCTTCACTTGTGAAGCGTGTCACTTCACAAGCTGGCGTGTGGGCTGCCTCAGCACACACTTTCCACTGTTCAGAAGCCTGTGCTGGGGCTCTCAGGTGGTTCTGCCTCTATTCTTGCTCTGAGCAAAGCCACTCAGGAAAGAATTAATGGTGCCGGCCTTGCTTTGTGGTAGCAAACGTGACCACTCGAGACCTTTGTGTGCTCTCTAGTAGTGCGCTGGCTGTAGCACGTCTGCTGTAATTTGTTCCACTCTTTTATCACAGAAGCTGAAGAGACAGTCAACAAAGTACAGATTGGATAAAATCTACCCTACAGCAGTGTCTGAGCAGCCAGAGAATGTCAAGAAGAACAGATACAAGGACATCTTACCTTGTAGGTTGGAAATGGCACATGTTCCTACTCAGCCTTTTGTTTTTCTTGCTTTTTTTGTTCTCATCCTCTGGTGCCTGCCTGCACTGCTGTTGTATGTGAGCATCTCACTGCTGTCTGTTGGCTTTGAGTCCTGCTGTTCAGATTTAGGGTTTTGGCTGTTGCAGTGCCTGCTCTGGAAGACTTTGGCACGTATCAACACTGTCAGGCACACGGTGGGATTTTGGGGATGTCGTGTGCAGGGACGGGAGTTGGACTCGATGATCCTTGTGGGTCCTTTCCAGCTCAGGATATTCTGTGATTCTGTGATATTTCTACACACAGAAGAACTTCTGTTCACTAGGAAACACATCCTCAAGTGATTATCCTTGCGAGCTTTCTGTTAGCACTGCAACCACTTGTATCCAATGGCCTTTGGACAGCATGATGCTGTCTTCGTGATGCACAAAGCAGACAACAGGCAAACCCTGGTTTGGCTTGGCTTGGTGCAGTGGTCCCCAAAGGACCCTGTCCCAGGGTCAGAGCAGACTGTCTCTTTCGTCCATTCCAGCTTGAAAAATAAAGTAAATCACAGAGTTGGAAGTTGGAAAACACCTCCAAGACCGAGTCCAGCTTTAAACCTTTGTATCTAACCCCACAGACCTGGTTTGAGCCTAGGGTACAGTGAGGTGGTTTTGGGCTTGGTGTGCTGCATGGTCACGGGGGGATCAGCATTGCACTGGGGTAGTTGGCAGCACCTGCAGCTCTCTCACTAAACCTCCCTCACTCTCCAAAAGGATCTTGTCCTGATCCTCTGTGTGTGTAGGCAGCAGGGCTGTGGGAGGTGTGGGAGGGACATCAGCTGCTTGCACAGCCACCCACCCGCCCTGGAGGAGCTCTCTGACCTGAGTGCTCCCCCAAAGCCCCTTGTGCTGCCCTCCACGGGCTCAGTGACCATGAAGGACAGACACTGACTGCTTCCCCTGCTTTTGCAGTTGACCACAGCAGAGTGGAGCTGTCCCTGATTACATCGGACACAGATTCTCATTACATCAATGCCAGCTTCATCAAGGTTTGCCTCTTTTGTGGCATTTTGTCCTGCAAAGGTATTGGTGGTGCCAGGAGGAGCGGCTCTGGTGAACCAAAGGGCTCTGCAGCAGTTTCTGGGCTGTGCTCAAGGATAACTGATGGGAGATGAGAGAGCCCTCCAGAGCCCCCCGTGCAGCACAGAGGCATCGGGCTATGGGGAGAGGGGTGCACTCGTGCCGGGGTGGAACAGTCTGTGTTTCACAGCCCCAACTTCCTCATTGCCACTGCTGCCTTTGGTGGGTGAGAGTGGTGCAAAACTGCCTGTGGCCAGAGTCACTTGGGCTGCAACCAGTGCAGAGGCAGGAAGCCTTGCAGGGCTGCACGGCTGGGACCCGCTGCTGGGGCGAGCAACGTGGAAGATCAGTGTGGGACAGTGCTCCATCTGCAGCTGTACAAGTTTTGGGACTGTCCTGGGCCTACAACCCTTCTCTGACAGACAGACAGATAGATCATTCATTCATTCATTCATTCATTCATTCATTCATTCACTGAAGGTTCCCTTCATTCTCCATGACAGTGACCAGTGACCCAGGGCTCTGTGTAACCCGTCTGCAGAAAAATAGACCTTCCCTACAGCATCACAGCTCATAGCTCATTCTTTGGCCATCAGCAACAGAGCTGTGGCCACATCACCTCCAAGCTCCCAGAGGCACTGTAAGAACTGGTGCTGGTCTCTGGGAGCAGATCTCAGCTCAGTCCCAGCTCCCCAGCTAGGCCCTGCCTTTGGTTTGCACACCACTGCTCGAGTTAATGTATGTGCCCAAAATTCAAATATATGAAAAAAGTCCTTAATGGCCTTGCTGACAGAAGTAAATTCAGAGAGGGGAATGACTTTATTTCTGCTGGTGAACTATGCACAGATGCGTCCATGTCTCGTTTGAATATTCCAGGGTGTCTATGGGCCAAGAGCATACATTGCAACCCAGGGTCCTCTCCCCACTACTGTCACTGACTTTTGGAGGATGATTTGGGAGTATGAAGTCCTGGTAAGGTGCAAATTTGTATTTAAATATAAATTTCATTTATCCTTTTATTTTTAAGAAAAGCTGTCCTTACAGCCAGAAGTCCATTGTAGGCCAGTGGGAGTGTCAGGGTTTCACTGCAGATGCTGTATGTGTCCCACATCTCTCCTGTCAGCCTCCCCCAGCTCGTGCCAGGGCAGGAGTCTGCTGGTGGCTGTCCCTGCCTTTGGGATCTGGCTGGGGATGATGTGCCAGGCTGTGGGTGACGTCCCAGTGTGACTCATCTGGCAGCTGGGCTCGAGGGAAGGCAGTCCACAGGGTTTCTTTATCACTGATAAGTACCCACAAGAGGTGATTTTAATTTTGCTGCCTGGATAAAAAAAAACTCATGTTCAGACTTTTCTAATGAACTTTCTTCCTGCAGGTCGTGGTCATGGCTTGTATGGAGTTTGAAATGGGGAAGGTGAGTAGCACGTCACAGATGGCCCTAAGTGCCAGGGCAGGGTGAGAGATGCAGATTTTCATTAAATCCCATTAATGACAGCCAGTGTCTGTTCGATATAAGCTGGTTTTTGGGTCTCCAGCTGCAAATGGAAGATGTCCCTGCCTATGGGTGAAATGAGATGATCTTTAAGGTCCCTTCCAACCCAAACCAGTCTCTGATTATATGAAATTCTTTAGCCTTTTCTGGTAGCATAGGGAATCTACCTGGAAAGGGAAAACCAGTAGTGGCAGCTTCAAGGAAAGGGAGGCTGGAGCTGGACAGCAGCAAGAGCTGAACCTCTTCCCAGCATGAATTTTGTCCTGAAAAGTGGAAAAGGACACTGGCACAGCTGGGCCAGTGGGGAATAACCAAATACGTCCTGCTTGTCCCAACAGAAGAAATGTGAGCGGTATTGGGCAGAGGTAGATGGCTCCCCCCTGCACTGTGGCCCTTTCTCCATCACCTGTGTGAGTGCAGCACCTCAGCACCTTGTCCCACCTCAGGGCACCCACGGAAAATCTGACTCTGACTCCTTCTTCTGCAGCAGGCTGAGGAGAAGAGGAATGAGTATGTGATTAGAACTTTAAAGGTGACCCTGAATGAGGTAAGGAGGAAAGGTCAAGGCAGAAAATGTACCTGGGATGGCTTTGTTTTATAAATAATGTATTAAAATACGGTACGTTTTGTGCAGAAAATTTTACATTGCTCAGGCAGCTGTATTACATTTGACAGCAGTTGAGGGAACAAAGAAAGTAAAAAATTGATTAACTCAGACCTCAGTTTCTGAAAGTGTTTGTCAGTCATGGCAAATCAGATTCTGGGTAAGTGAGGCCAAGAACGTCTTAAAACAGCTCTTGCAGCTAAACCAACTGCAAACTTCTGCTCTGCCCTTTGCCAGCTGGTGCAATGGGAGCTGGGGATGGAGCAGAAATCCAGTTCCCCTTGCCATGCTGACATCCCAGACCCTGCCACTTCTCTTCTACTGCAGGCAACCCGCACCATCTACCACTTCCACTACAAAAACTGGCCGGACCACCACGTCCCCTCATCCATCGAGCCCATCCTGGAGCTCGTCAGGGACATTCGCTGCTACCAGCCCGATGACAGGGTCCCTGTCTGCATCCACTGCAGGTGGGTGACCTGGCTGCCAGCAGGGGAGGGCTGCTGGCCCCTAGACCCCTGTGCTCCCATGTCCTGAGGGGTCACAGGGCAAGGAGGTTGGCCAAGCCCATAGCCAAGCCCCTCTTACAGGGCAAAGGGTGCCTCTGAGGATGGCCAGGGGAAAGGGAGGGAGGCAGCAGCAACAGAATCACAGAACCATGCAATTGTTTAGGTTGGGAAAGTCCCTTAAGAGGGTCAAGTCCAACCATTCACCCAGCACTGCCAAGGCCACCTCTAAACCATGTCCTTAAGTGCCACATCTACACATCCTTTCACTGGTGACTTCAACACTGCCCTGGACAGCCTGTGCCAGTGCTTGACAATGCTTTTGGTATAGAAATTTTCCCTAATATGCAATCTAAAGCTCCTCTGGAGCAACCTGAGGCCATTTCCCCTTGTCCTGTCTCTTGTTAGAGGAGACCAATATCCAGCTAGCTACACCCTCTTGTCAGGGAGCTGTAGAAAGTGAGAATGTCTGGACCAGAGACCACCACCACTGGTCATGTCTATGTGTGCTGGTTACCACGGGAGGACTGAGAGCTGTCCTCAAGGGATGAGCTGTGCCTCCCAAACCTGGGCAGCCCTGCATGGGCTGAAGCTGTAGCATCCTGCAGGTCTGCAGGCTGTGTGTGGCATGGCAAGGTCACAGGTGGCTGTGGGTCTGGTCTGGTCCAAACATCCCTGTCAGAAAACACAGCATGCCCACCCCGTGCCCTGCGGCTGTCATTGCAGTGCTGGCTGTGGCAGAACTGGCGTCATCTGCGCCATCGACTACACCCAGAGGCTGCTGAAGGACGGGGTGAGTGCCAGCCCCTTGCTGCCTCCAATGGCACCTGCACCCCCCCTGTCCCTCCCCAGACTTCCCTCTGCCTTTTACCCCCTCTGACTGCTCTCAGGTGGGTTTCAGGTGGGTTTCAGGTGCATGGGAGCTCCCCAGTGGCTGAAGTGCGGGTTCCCCATTCCCAGTTTGTGCCACTCCTCTCTCTTTAGGCACTGACAGCTTCACACCAGTGGGGCAGAATCTCCCCTCCACTGCTGCCCTCAGCTCACAGCACCTGGGCCTGTGCTGACCTTCATTCTCCAATACATCTTTGCTGTCTACATTTGTCTCTCCACACTCACACATCAGAAGTTCAGTGTTTCCAAACCACCCCCTTGCTTTACTCTGACTCTCCAGCAATGGTACAGGCAGTAATCCCTAGGACTCAGAGGAGACCTGCTGTCTTCTGTTCTACAGTTACCTGAACCCATCCAGCTGGGAAATCAGTGTCACGTCCTTCGTGCTGCCCACAGCTGTTATAAAAAGGGTATTTTGTGTGGAGTGTGAGACAGGAGGGAGGAGGATGGTTTGTAATAAATTAAATAGCACTTTAAGCAGGTGCTTTGTTAGAAATTATTGCAGTTGCAGGCCTGGATTTCAGACAATGCTCTGAACTGCATCAGGACTTGGAAAATTTGTGGAATTAGACCTGTCTGTAATTTTTTTGTCAGAGAAATCATAGAAATCATGGCAAGATTTGGGTTGGAAGGATCTTTAATTCCAGCCCCCTGCCATGGGCAGGGGTACCTTCCACTATCCCAGGTGGCTCCAAGCCCCATCCAGCCTGGCCTTGGGACACTTCCAGGGATGGAGCAGCCACAGCTGCTCTGGGCAACCTGTGCCAGGGCCTCCCCACCCTCACAGGGAAGAATTCCTTCCCAATATTAAATCTAAATCTCTTCTCCTTTAGTTTAAAACCATTTTGTCTTTTCTCTCTCTCGCCAGATTGTTCCAGTGAACTTCAGTGTTTTCAGTCTGATCCAGGAAATGCGCACACAAAGACCTTGCATAGTGCAGACCAAGGCATGTTTGGGGAATGTCCTCAGCTGGTCCTTGCTGGGACCTCACCTTTTCCCATGAGGGTTCACAGCAGGGAGACCCAGAGCAGTGGTGCTGGTGGGAGCTGGGGTGTGAAGCTGTTGTGCAAAATCTCTTTCCTGAACAGAACAATGATTTGGCAGAAATTAATTTGGGAGCTGAGAGTTTCCTTGTGGACAGCTGGGCCAGTGCTCACAGTGAGATTTATTGAGCACTTGCACTGTGAAACCAGGGACTATCCAGGCAATAAAGTGGGAACTTTTCTCAGCTGCACCAGACTGAAGGGGAAGCTCAATGTAGAACAGCATGGTTTGCAAACCCAAACCCCCCGCAAATGCTTCAGTGTGAACACTGTGAGAGTTGTGGCTTCTGCCTCTTCTCAGAATCCACACCCTGCCAAAGGACAGGAAAGGCCACTTCTCTCTGGGGTGATGCTTGCTTGGTAAGAGGTGGCCACTTACAGGTCCCACTGGTGCTGGCTGTCACATTTTTTTGCCTGTCTGGAATGCAGGAGCAGTATGAGCTGGTTTACGATGCGGTGATTGAGCTCTTCAAAAGGCAGATTCAAGCATTCGATGCCCAGAAAGATTCTGCTGCTTCACAGGTAAAAGTCCCAGGGCAAACACCCTGCCTCTTGCAGCCTGGGCACTCCAGCTCTAACCTCAATTCCTGCTGCAGACCTGGGATGAATTCTATATTTTCTGCTCCCCTTGATACACAAACTGTGTCTCTTTTGATGTTAACTCATGAATCCAGGTCTTCCCCTGAATGTGCAATGCTCATCACAAACAAGACCTAGAACTTCTTCAGTCTCAAAACCATTTTCTATTTTCTATATATTTGCACCATTGTCAAATGTGAGGGAAGAAAACAGCACAAATTTTCTATCATGACTGATTTCCATGGGGATGTGCTAGTGAAACTTGTCTTCATGGAGTGCTCACAAGCTGCTGAGGGATTTTCAGACTAGGTTGGGAAGATCCAGGTTGGGAAGCTTGGGATCACAAGGTAGTGAGGCTGAAAATGTTACCAGACGTGTGCTAGTGAGGGAATCAGCACTACAGCCTGTCTGTTGGAGGGCATAGGGGGAAATATCTCATGAAAAAAACATGGCAAAGTCTCACAGATCTGTTACACCTCTGAGGAAAAGAAATGTGGTCTTGGTGTGAAGCTGCATAATAACAGGAATAGCCAAAACATCTCTGGTTGAGGTTTTCTTTGCTCTTGCTGTTCTGTGACTGCTGACATGAGCCTCACTGGCTCAAATCCAGGAAAGTAAATGCATCACAGAAAAGCCTGGAAGGTCACAGTGAGCTCATTTTGTCAGAAACTTTTAAGAATTGGGAAGGGGATCCTGCCATGGGACTTATGCCTTAGTTTTACCATAGGATTTGCAGGACATTCCAAGCCAGAGCTGAGTGAGAAAATAACTGGAAAAAGTCTTTTTGAACTGGTTAAGGACAGACTGTGAGCAAAGGTCACAGAGGGCTGGGCTGACACAAAGTGATGAGGACATTTCAAGTCAGGATGTGGTTTTGTAGCTCTTGCTCAAACCTCTTGGCCCCCTAAACCTCCTTGTCCTCTGAGGACACTGTGCCAAGCTCTGGGATGGCCATGAGCTGGTGTCATGAGTAAAACCAGCACCCAGCTTGCCCAGTGTGGGTTCCTGAAGGCAGAGTGTCTGCACAGGCTGCCTGCCAGCTGTTTGGCACAGCTGGATGGTTGTAGGGATCACTGTACTCTCATTTCAGGAAGGTGCTGGCAGGAGTTGCTCTTCAGGAGGTTCTGTCAGCAGTTTTCAGCTCCACCTTGATGTCATTTCTCAAGTGCTTTAGTAACTAGAAGTATTTGGCAAAAATCACTGCTCCTGAAGCAATGCGTTGGTGTTCTTTGCGTTCTGCCTCCTCACCCTTGTTTGCAAACATTTCCTTTCCCTAGGAAGGAGCAGGGCACCCTGTAGCCAAGCCAGTCCTGACTCCACTGGAAGACATTTACGGCCTGAGTTTACTCACCTGGTAAGGCCTCAGCACAAGTATCCCTGGTTGGTATTTGCAGTCACCCACACGATTTCAGAGAGATGAACTTTTTGATGTGTGCTTTGGAACACTTTAGCTCTCAGGATCTGCTGCCTCCCTTGAGTCCCACTTTGACTCAATGTTTGTTCCTAACATAATTCATGGAATCATAAAGGTTGGAAAAATTCTCTAAGACCACTGAGCACAACCATTAACCCAGCACTGCCAGGTCCAACACTAAACCATGTCCCCAAGTGCCACATCAAAATGTTCTTTGAACACTCACAGATGATGTTTCCACCACTTCCTTGGGCAGCCTGTTGCAATGCCTGATCACCCCCACAGTGAAGAAACTTTTCCTAATTTCCTATAATTCCTGCTCTTCCCACTGTTGTGTCCCAGCCTTTTCCCTGTGCCATTATCTGTCCCCTTGTTCTGCCCTGTCACACAGTGTTTCACACAAACTGAAAACAGTAGAGAACAGTAGAAAAACATTCCATGAACACACAGGCTGGGTCATCCCAGCCTTCTGCCTGGCATGGAATGTCCCTGCACTGGTCCCATCTTCCATCTGCACATTCCACTCCAGTGGCCCTTGCTGCAGGAATAGCAATCCTGAGGATCCAGCTTCCCAATACCAGCAGCTTCCAAAGCTGGTGGGATCTCTCTGTGGATATGTTTAGGATGGCAGTGCTTTCTGTAAATAATTTTGCTTTTTGGTTCAGTTTGCTGGCATAAAGGGACCTCCTTTGTTCACCATTTAACAGCGTTGAAATGGAGCCCAGTCCTTCCCTGTGCTCCTCGCTTGAAGCTGTGCTGTGCATTCCTGAGGGAATTGCTCCTGGGAGCAGTGCTGTGGGCTCTGTTAGTGGGCTAACATTTTCTGAGCCCTCCATGGCTTTGACCCCAGACCACTTTTTTGTGCTTTTGCTGCAGCTCGGAGCGAGAGGAGCAGGCTCAGCAGCAGGACGGGCATCGACAGCTCCGGCCAGTGGCACAGAGCGAAGTGTCCCTGGCGTCACTGTGTGCCCATGGAGCACACAGCTCTGCCCAGGGAGTGCCCCCCATCAGACAGGCCATCTCCTTCAGTGCTCTGAACTCCATCAGCCGTAGGCAGGCAGCTGCCAGGGATGCCTCTCAGAAACACTGCAGCTGGGAGCTGGAGCTGGAGCTGGAGCCAAAGGGAGCAGGAAGGAGGGGGCCTGGTGCCAGAGCCCCTCTGGCATGGACTGTATCAACCCCTCTAGCACTGGGGCAGCGGGGAGAAGGCTGGGAATGGGATGCAGGGGATGCCAAGCCTGTTTGGAGTCCACAGTGGCCAAAAGCCACCGGCTCGAGCTTCCAGGATGGGTTTTCCCCTGTGGACCTGAACCCCTCCAGAGGAGCAGCAGATGCCCCCCCAGGCCACAGGAACCAGGGGCAATGCCCTCACCCTTACCTGTGCTCAGCAGAAGACCCCTACTTCTTATCACTTTCTCCAGACGAGCCTTTGTCCCCCATGTTCCCCTTTCTAGAGGGGCAGGATGAGCTCTTCCCTTCGTGCTCTGCCAGTGCCCCGCTACAGCCCAGCACAATCAGCTCCCCATCATCCCACCATGCTCCCCAGAACCAGGAGAGGATCTTCCCCTCGGGTAAGTGCTACTGGGACAAGGGGACATGGGGGACCAGGTCATTCTGGATTGGGGTGTGCTGGAGGGAGCAGTCAGTGTGGTCATCTGGTGTCCAGGCAGGGCTGTAGCTACTCCTCAGGGCTGGGCTCTCATGGGAGCTGAGGGAACAGCTGGTTTCATCTCCACACTCTTTTCATTCTGCCTGAATTTTTTTCCCACAAACATTTTTAGAGCAGTGTAATTTTGGTGTTTGCATTACACAGCTGCTCTGAACCACTGTGTCAGCTCAGAACAGCTCTCACAGGGAGACAGGGGTGGTGCTGACCAATTCCTACAACCAAGGTGCTCCAAAAAGCATTCAGAAAGCTCCCAGAAACAGTTTTCTCTGAGGATCTAGTTTTCAGGTCAAACCCCACTCTTCGCTGCAGAGTGTCATGCAGGGGACACTGAAATCTCACCGAGATTGAGAGATCCAGGGCTTCAGGGGCAACCTGAGTGACATCCCTTCCCATGGGGGGGGTTTTGGATCTCAGTGGTTTTTAAGGTCCCTTCCAACCCAACCCATTCAATGATTCCATGATTCAACGCAAGTGTTTTGCCCAGACCTGTAGCCTTAAATCCACCACCTGTCATACGAGGAAGGTGGAATTATTCCTTGTTCTGGTTAGTCCTGGTGCAATTTCCTATTGTGCACAGCTTTGGCACTTGCTCCACTTTGTCCTGCCCAGACCCCTCAGCATTCAATGCCACAAAGACATGCTCGTTATTCCAGTGCCCTTGGGAAGTGCTGGGAGCTGCAGCCTGAGCCAAGCAGCAGAACCCCCAGCTGTGTGCCTGGCTCTGTGCTGGCTTATGCTCATTTTCCTTGTGCCATTGGTGCTGGCAATTATTTGTATGTCAAACCACAGTTTAGAGCTGTTTAACCTTAATCTCTGGTGCGTGGCAGGGCAGGAGCAGCCCCCTTCCCTACACAGGTCTGCGGTCCCCCTTATTTCCTGCCATGCCAGTAACCTGTCTGTGGCTCTCCAATCAGCCCCCCTACCACAGCCTGATGATGATGATGCTCCTCCACCCCTGCCCCAGCGCACCCCCGAGTCCTTCATTGTGGCCAGTGAGCCGGGTGAGTGATCAACAACATTAAATGTGGGTCTGAGCAGCACTGAAGGCTCATCCAACATCGGGGTGGTTCCATAGCATCTGGCAGTGTCTGGGATGAGGAATGATCTCTCTGGTATTCAATTGCTTCTAGGGCAATTTCCTCAGGCCACTTTGGATTTCCAGCTTCCAGACAGAAATCCAAATATTGGAACGTCCTGGGAGTGGAGTGGCGAGTCTTACTCAGAGGGGTTTCATGACCCTGTGAGACTGAGACCATGTAAGGTAACTAAGTGGCTTTTTACCTCTTTTCTGGCACTATTCCTATGCCAATCTCCTTACCACATTTCCTTCTGTGAGAAAATCTCTAGTTTTGGTACTTTGTACTTGCCATGAACTATTTAATAGAATCACAGAATCATGGGATGGTTTGGGTTGGAAGGGACTCTTAAGAGAATCCCATTCCATTCCCCCTGCCATGGGCAGGGACACCTTCCACTAAAACAGGTTGCTCCAAACCTTGGCTTTGAACACTTGCAGGAATTTTCAGGATGTGGGTTTGGAAAGAAGACGTGGCCTCAGTCTAGACCCTTCTCATGAACATCTACTTTACTCCAAACATTATTTTTTGGGATTCTAAGACCAGTACAGGGTAATAAACATATTGTCCCTTATTTAGAGAAGGATAACAAAGACAGGACATTAGTGCTCTGCTGAGCTTCACACAGCCCTGTGGAATGAACAGAAGCTGAAGAAAATTTAGGCATCTCTTGATCATCCCATAGCTGAGTGACAGCTCTGTGAAGTGGAAGAATGAGGCACAAGTCTGTCTTCCTTTCCACAAGCATGGAGGTGTATGTGGGAGGGTGTTTGCACATCACATCCTTTCCTTGTCTTCTCTGGCTTCCTTGTGTGCAAGAAAATAACTTTTGGATGTGTGAATTTTAAATACCTGCCTTGTTTTTTGTTTCCAGAGTGTGAAGCTTTGGAGCCCACAAACAGGTATAAGTTTAACACTGGGATAATCTTTGGAATTAAGACCTGCTTTTTTTCTAAAACTGCTTTATTTAGTGAATGTGTTTAGGACCTGTGCTCAGTGCAAAGATAATTGTTGATAAATAGTTCTGCAACGAAATAGTTCTAACCAGATGCAGACACTTCTGCAATCAAATTAACTGGTGGTTTATCTGCTTCTGCCTCATCCTGTACATGAGGATGTTCCTTGCAGCCTCCTCTTTGTCTGCATATTGTGTGTCTCCTTTGAGACAGCTGAGATAAACTGGTTGCTTCTAATATATATATATATTTGTTTATTTGTTTGTTTGTTTTATTTTAAAGCTAGGTAACCAACTCTTTTATCTTTACTTTCTCAGAGACAACCCAGGATCCCTCTAATTCTCCTCCTCCGCTTCCTGAAAGAACCCCGGAGTCGTTTGTTCTTGCTGAGGCAGCAAGTAAGTGCTGAGCTCTTTTTTCAGGATGTAACTGAGGTTTTACACTCACACCTAAAGCTGTAGGTCTCTGAGAGTGTGGCCCACTTTGTTCAAAGCATTATCAGGTAGTGCTTCAGCACTTCCCTGCAGGACAGTTCAGCAAACACAACGAAAATAAACACTAGTAGGGAACCTGCAGAAAATTTCTGGAAGTGCTGCATTAGAGGAGATGAAAAGCAACACCAAAGCACTAGGAAAAAAGCAGGAGGATTTGTGAATGACCACTGAAAACGTACGCATGATGTATGTTCCCAGGTCTGCAGCCTGCTGCAAGAAACTCCTTGACTCCTGCGGGTTTGGAGAACAAGGGCTCAGAAACATCATCCAAAGAACTCATGAAATGCTTCAGGAGGAGCAAGGTAAAAGAAAAAAGAGGTGTGGAAACCGTTAGAGGGAGAGAGAAAAGCTCTGGCCCAGCTCTCTCACTGGTCACTGGGGGAACAGGGCCTGCTTTGAGAGCGCTTGTGTTTAGGGCAAGAAAACAAGAGTAATAAAAATCTTCCGGTGTACAACTGCAAATACCAACCTTGTCTGCACTGGGAATGGGGTAGGCCAGCCCTGCCCGTGCCAGTGGTTGTGCCTTGGTATTCCACCCACCTGCAGTGCCAGTTCTGCTGGGAAAAAGTTGCTCCAGTGGAGTCTGAGTCTGTCCTACAAGAACAGAACCATGGCCAGACTCCTCTTGTTGAGCCTCCTGTTAATTATCCTCATGAGATTGTACTGTTATTGTGGAACAGAAAAGTGCTTGAGGAAAACAGCAAGGAAAATAAAAACTGGAAGCATTTGGGATGACAAGGGAAAAGCCAAAGAGAGTGGCACAAAGTTTGCTTTTTATGAAATGTGATACTTGTGCATTTGCCAGTGAATTCCCACAGTAGCTGATCAATTTATACATGTACATTTATCAGTGTTTTTATACATGTGCACAAATTCCCTTTACCACAGTAGCTGATCCACTGCTTCAGACATTTTTTTCCAGCTAGCCTTTTTGTTTATTTTTTTTTACAGAGCTTGAAAATATTGAAAAATGTGCGAAAAAGTAAGTCATTCAGGCTAATATCTTTCAAACAGATTTAAGCAAGTATTTAAATGTGTGGGATGGAAATACCAAGCACCTGAACTTTTCCAATGTGAAATTCCCTGCAGTTTGGAGTGGGACACACAGAGCTGTGCAGCTGAGTACCTTCTCACCTGGAGAGCTGTAGCTGTTGTAGGAATGTCATAAGGATGCTGTGCAACCCTTTGGGGACAAATTATCAAATTCTTCAGGTCATTCAAACCTGTGTTGCAGGACCCTACAAATGGGAGATTTGGGTGCTGGGAAAATGTGAGCCCCAGCTGAGATTCTGACCAGGCTATTTGGAGCATAAATAAGGAATCTCTCACTCAAATCCCTTTCAACTAAAATTAAAATGCTCATCTTGAAAATAGGACTGCTAAAAATGGTTTAAAGTACTTCTGAGCAAATGTTTTCTCAGCAGGTCTTGCTGCAGTAGTAAATCCACTTCCTGTAAATACGGGATTGCACAAATTAAGGAAGGAGGAAATTTCCCCTGTGAGGGTGGAGAGGCCCTGGCAGGGTGCCCTGAGAAGCTGTGGCTGCCCCTGGATCCCTGGCAGTGTCCAAGGCCAGGTTGGACAGGGCTTGGTGCTGGTTTAATGATTGGATTTGATCTTAGAGCCCTTTTCCAGTCTAAAGACTTCCATGATTCCACAAGTTCAGCTCTGGAATTACCAGTGACCAACTGCTCCAGTCTCATTTTTCATTTCTAGGCATCTGCAGTCCATCTTCACTGACAAAATCATCAGAACCTGCCCCGACAAACTCTCCGAGGTCTTTCCTTAACTTTGGTATGTTTTTCTTTTTGTGTTTTGGTAGGAAGAACCTGGTTCTTGGGAGTCTAAATGCCAGGCAGAACACTTACAAACTACAAATATTTCAAATAATGCTCACTGGGTTTTACATATTTAGTTTTTACACATTTACAACTTTATTTGCAACTACAGGATGTTGCTTTTCTGTCATATCTTAAAGCTTGGGAAAGATCTTAAATTACAAGTATTTTCAATTCCTGTGTTATTTTAAGAGATTATGTAATCAGCATATGTAACATACAGAATTTGTTGCATTAAAAATATATATAATTTCTTCCTAGGCTTTGCAAATCGATTTTCAAAACCTAAAGGACCAAGAAATCCACCCCCAGCATGGAATATTTAGATGTATTCTATAGACTTGGTGTTGCAGATTTGTGAAGTCATCCTGAAATTCTTAGAATGCCCATCCCAGTGAAGCTCCCACCAAAATAAACACATCCAAAACTGTTACATGGTATTGGCATCTCAGGCACTACTTGCACATTCACTGAATTTATAACTGGAGTTTTAAAGTCAAAAATGTAAAAGGACCAGCCACTTTCAGTTAATTCACAATGGGATGGAAGGTATACAAGTTTTGGAATACAAGTTTTATCCTAGGGAGAGACATATTTTTGTAATGTTTTGGAATGTAATCTCTTCAAAAGGATGGATTTGAGCATAAACCAATGATAGGACCCAGTGACAACTATGGAATGATCTGGAAAGCCAACGGAGCAAACAGAGGCGGATCAAGATCCTCTCACATTTTTATGTGTACTGTAATCAAAGACACTGAAATGTTTACATTACTTGGACTAAGAGGGAATTAGCATCCCAAATTTTAGAAATAAGCGCCTTTTTTCCCCATCTGAGCGAATCAGAGCATTTGTCTGGATTTTGGGGCAATAATACTTAGGATGGTGATTGATCCCATAGAAACAAAACCAGTGTAAGGACCGCACAACTGGTTGACCCAGTTGCTCTTCTACCTGGGGAAAAAAAATTCCCAAAACACCACAACAGCAAGCAAAATATTATTGTATTTTAAAAACAATGTTGTTTTTAAGGATTTGTTATTTTCCAGCACAGAATTTCAGGTGGGAATAGGAAATACAGGATTTCTCACCAGATTCCATCAAAGTGGGATTTGGGGAATTTGGTCAAGAACAATCTGCTGACCACAGCTGGAATGTGTTGGATTTGGGGAATTTGGTCAAGAACAATCTGCTGACCACAGCTGGAATGTGTTGTTTCTGATACTTAGTTTCTGATACTTAGTTACAAGATCTAGAAAAACATTGAATTTCATATAATATGAAATTCATGAACATGTTTTCATGATGATACATGAAAACAAATGTTAAAGTTAGATAAAAAAAGCTAA